TATGTATCCATTCATCCATTATCTTTTACCTGTTTCTTCCATTTCGGGTCACGGGGATCACCAGCACCCATCACAGGGCCACATAGAGCCAAACGAGCCAACCATTCACGCTCTCACTCACACCTAGGGACAAAGAGCTGTCAACTGATCACCATTTGGTGGTGAGTTAGACCCAGCAGCATGATAGGCTGCCAGACAGACACAGTAAACCAAGACGAGTAGTGAGGGAACACCAGGCAGAGGACCCTGTCCAAGAAATCTTCAACTTAAACCTCTGGGGAAGTTTTCACATGTCACATGAGAGGTCAGGGACATAACTGTGTGGGCCTTCTGCAGATGTGGGTTCCAAAAGCTGTAGCCTGAATGTCATTAATAACTTAAGGACTGGCTGGCGGACACCAGCAGGAGGCCACTGTGCTGAAGAGGAGGTCTTTAGGTTTTGGCTGTCCTGGAGGAGTCCTGAAGCAGTTAAAGGTGACCAGAAGGGCTGAAGCAAAATCTTAGGTCTGGGAGAATATATTTAACTTTTGCTTTAACCCTTGTAGTTAACTCTGTTTTTTAGTAACACATCTACCATACATACTGAATACATTTTAATGAAACTTTCAGAAATCGTTACATGTAATCTACAATTGGTAAACTTTGGTCATCCTAATCTGACACTGACGCCTCAGCCAATTGACCCTATTTGAAACAAATATCTACAACTCTAAATTGATTTTACACATATTGATTGTCACAACGGAGGCGTTAACCCAGATAAAATGGACTGAGGACAGACCTAAAGTCCCTTATAAGGACATAAAGTGATTTTTTACAGTGTAAATATAAACAGTCACTATATACAGAATGGACACTCTGGGAACCCTAGAAGGGGAGAGGTCAGGGACTTGAGAGGAGCAGTTAGATATTGCAGCTTGGAGTTATCTTACAGGGTTTCACTTGGGGTGGCAGCATAGAGTGGAAGGTGGAGGAATCCAGGTCCAGAAGGCCCAGCTGAAAAGAGCTCAGGTGGTACTTGGAGGCAAGTGGTAAGAAGGCAGAGGAGCAGTTGAGTAAGATCTACAAGAAGGACTTGAGACTCACAGGTGTAGAAGCCAAAGGTTCAAGAACAGTCAGTTTAGTTCAGGACAGGAGGCGCAGGAACCAGGTTCTGTGGAAATACGAGTAGAACACAAGGTAATATTACTATTTCTAGAGGATTAGAAAAGGAGGCCGAAAGTGCAAGTACCAGAAGGTAAGTAATGCTCCAGCAAGGAAGAAAGCTTTCTGCAGCCTCTTATAGTCCTGGCGCTCATGACGCTCATCTGCTGCTTGTTGGCACTGCCTCAGGAACTGGGAACCTGGAAAAAAAACTGGAATCCCTACAGAGATAAACTTTAGTGTGGTAGTACCCAAGGGTCATCACAACCACATACTCTTAGCAGTAATAAATTGCACAAGATCTTTTTACATTGTGCATAATGTTATTTTCAAATTTAATTCAAAACAGCTGTGTACTTTAATATTAAATTATTTTTATCTAAAACTCTTTATCTAACATCCCTTAAAAAGCTATGCTTGAAAAAAAAGATCCAAATGTCATTGTTAGTACCGGGTATTTATTTAGAATACTTAAGACTGTGATTTCTTCTTTAAAAATGTTCTCAAACTTTTTTCTTTCCCAAATTTTGTAATCTAAAACCTGGTTTCCTGGAACATCAAACCAATACCATGACATGAGTCTCTGTCACTTCAGCTGATTAAATATCACGCACTGACCTGCAAACCTACGGCTCTCAGAAGCTGTGTTTTGTGTTTCTCAGCTGATTACCTCCAGGCTGGTCTGTAGCTGATGTGCTCAGGATTCTGCTCACTGCATCACATGAAAGAGTGAGATTGTGACCCCAGAGCATTGCTGGGTAATACCATGCTTTTCCTAATCCGAGCAGACTCGAATCCGTAATAAGTCAAAGGTGTGTGTATGCACAGAGGCCATGTGAAAGTTTGTAGTAATAATGTATAAAAAAAATGCAAAGGTCAAAGTGATTTTATGTCTCCAACTAAAACAAATTCTATACCTGCATTACAAACACAAAACTAAGATTTAAGGATATCTTGAAGGAATGCATACCGCCCACTGCCTTTCATGACAAACTATCATCTTTAGCAAATAAAGGACAGATGTAGCCGCCTTAATGAAACCTTGTAAATTACTTTATGTACAACATCAGGAAATATAAAATTTCACAAAATGTGTCAGTGCTCAGCTACTACTTTAACAAATAAAATAAGAAAAATGCTTAATATCCATAAAACTGACTAAATTATAACTATTTTTTGTGTTGTCAGATGTTAATTAGCTGTAGTGACAATCCTGAAATATATTAACTCCAAATGCCAATGGGTTATAGATGAACAGCCAGTGAGCACTTTGTACAAGTTGCATAGTCTATGTCAAGTGATTTGTGAGATATTTTACTAACAGGCAAACAATGTTTGACAATCATTCAAGTATAAAAATCAAGTCAAAAATAATGTTAGTGCTTAGCGTATGCGTTGGGGGATTAGGCTTAGCTACTACAACATGAAAAAAATAGATCAGTGTCTGTAAAATTGTCTAAAATTATAGTCACTTTTGTTTTTCACAAGATCGGTTGGCTGTGGTGGACATATTGTAATTAGTTGACACCGAAAGTTAACGGTTGTAGACACCCATCCAGTGACTGCATTCAGAAAATGTTATCAATATTCGTCCAACGGTTCATGAGATATTTTGCTAACAGACAAACACAGGGTGGACTGTAACAGCTAACGGATTTTTTTTCAAAGCAAGTCTCATGCTATTAGCCAGGGCTTGAAGTATATATTAGGAATGACTCTCAGCTACTACTACACCAAATTATAGCTCAATATCTTTAAAACTGAGATAATTTTAGATTATTTTGTATTCCCCAAGGTTGGTTAGCTGTTGTTAATTGGCTTTAGAATGGCTATCCAATAATTACTTTGTTGCTGTTTCATTAAAATCTGTCCAGTGGTTCAGTTTATATTTTACTAACACAGACAAACGTGCAGAGGCATTGTCAACAACATCTGTGCCGTTCCCCTAAGTGACGGGGGATAATGATTGTTGTAGCTTACTGTCTGTGGAAGTAAATAAATGCAACACACAATGAAAAACTACAAAAGCCGAATTAAATCAGCTGTAAATTTTATGATTTATCTTTGAAAAGAAAGTGAAAAGAAACAGTTACAATCCAGCTGTCAGAGGACCTAAATCAGTAAATATGTCAACAAAATGAAAGAAACAAATGAAAACTAGAATAAAATATATTTTTTAAAGAGCTGAGGACAAGTCTTTGTTTATGACATCACGATTACCTCTGTATTACAATGAGATGCTGTTTGTACAAACACTGATGCAAGAAGGCACGATACAGAGCAATATGTGACACATTAAATCACGGCCTAATGAAATAATGAATATTATCCAGAGCAAAATGTTACTTTACTATCAGTCCCTGGATGACTTTATAAGTGGGAATAATACAACAAATTCTCTGCTGCAAGTCAGTGAACTTACTATCTTACTTTAAGTGTAAGTGCAAAAGCTCAAATATCAGGACTCATAGATATATATGATACATATACATTTACATATATATATATATATATATATATATATATATATATATA